TCTAAGATAATGGGTTTCAACAGGAGGCCATACTCTGGGATGCAGAGAGACTTTTCAAGGGTTATAAAGTTAGTTTTAAGGAAAGAAACTTTCATATCTTCCTCTTCTATTTTAGTCCCTGACATTTTCTTGAACAAGTGCCAGGGTTGAGTGATCAGACAAGTTCCCTTTCCAGCCTTCACTTTCACAAAACCACTCTTCTTCACAAAAGAAGGGCATAATTCCCATCTCTACTGGCTTTACTGTAATGTATCATCCAAGATGTAGAAACTATTGGTACATCAAACAAAGGGGCAACTCAAAATGTTGGTGCTGGGAAGCCTACCTTTAATTAAGGCACCCTTCCCCATTAGTCTCATTAAGATATCAATGCTAATACATATATTGTATGAGAGGCCTGTGAAATTTTTGCCTTTATGAAAAATGAATCAGATAGATAATATTCAATTCATGAAGAAAAGCTATAAAAGCATTTCCAATAAATGCTTTTCCAACGGCACCACTTTCTAGTGTCTTATTAAGTTAAATGATAGCATTGTAAGGCCTAACCTGACCCAAACATTTATTTATTATTGTGGACTCATAGAATTTTAGATTTTTTTTCTCTTTTAAATAATTCACTAGGTGAATCACCGAGGGATCTATGGTAGGAATGGGGAAGGTCTTGCAGGCCACTCTGTGAGAACTCTTTCATAGGGCATCTACAATCTCTTTAAAAAATAGCACCCAATATACTATTGCCATCAATGGTTCTTAGGTTTTAATTATCATTGCTTGTTATGGAGACTCAAGCCCTGTCTAACCTATAATATACATCTGAAGCAAAATTTTAGAATAACTGAGTTCCATATGTTCTCACTTATAAGGTGACCTTGAACAATTATAAGGCTATAAGAAAGCGATTGGCAGTAGTGGAAAACTGTCCCAGGAGTGGGGGTGGGTCTGGCAGTTGAGGGAAACTGCTATGGGAGGGAGGGGCATACCTCATCAACAAGGGTACCCGCATGATCAGTGTTTGTATACCTAACCCTGAATTGTACCCCACATCTTTATAATAAATAAATTAATTAAAACAAAGAAATTGGCCTGGCTCGGTGGCTCAGCCTGTAATCCCAGCACTTTGGGAGGCCGAGGTGAGTGAATTGCCTGAGCCCGCGGGTTCGAGACCTGCCTGGGCAACTTGGCAAGACCTCATCTCTACAATTAAAAAAAAAAAAAAAAAATTAGCCGGGAGTGGTAGCACGCGCCTGTAGTTCCAGCTACTTGGAAGGCGGAGGCGGAAGGATCGCTGGAGCCCAGCAGGTCGAGGCTGCGGTGGCCGGGAGCGGTCACTGCACTCCAGTCTGGGCGACAGAGTGAGACTCCAACTCAAGAAAACAACAACAACAACAACAAAAAAAAAACAAAAACAAAATCAAAAACAAAAAAAAGAAAATGTTGTACAGATTTGCTCATATAAGTCTCCTCCTAACTAGGAATGTTCCAGAAGGTATTTTTCTTAGACTTTATCCTCATATTTCCAGTGTGTCATCCTGTTGACATGTACAATGCTTGGCACTTAAAGTAATTTGATGAAAATTTAATATGTCTAAGCATTCTGATTGTTGTGATATGTTGTTTCTATAGTATATATCTACTAGCCAAATACATCTGAATCTTTCTTTGCAAAAATAAAACAGATAATGACTTGAAAATTCATGTAATCCACCGGTTTGTTTATTGTAAATTACATGGTATTTGGATTCAGTGTTATTCAAAGGCAATTGTTTTGTTTCCCTTTTTAGACTTGTTTTCAGCCACACACTTGATAAACTAGTGAATGACACGAGTAGAATGAAAAGTAATATATTCCTTTCTTTATGCAATTTCTTTGTTAAAGCAAAACAGCAGTTCTCCAATGTTTTCCATATAGGATTCAAACACATGAGATGGCTTTTCACAGTGTCTCCCACATAGTAGGCATTTCATATATACTTATTTGTTAGTTAATCTGGCCTTTGTTGATCAACCCACCTTTATTTACTTATACTCTGTGAGGCTATTTACTTATACTCTGTGTTTTAGTTATATCCATGCTCGATATTTGCCTCCATGGCATTGCCACACTCTTTTCACCTGGGTTTTCTCTGCCACATTTAGATCTCAGAGACTCTTTAAAGATCAACTCAAGTGCTATCTACTTTGTGAATATATTTCCATTTCCTCCAAATCAGACTTACTCATTACTTCTCTGAGGAGTGTTTGCACTTTTTATTCGTGCTAAATAATTTGGCATCTAGAGTTAGGTAGTTTGAGGGTAGGTGTTCTTTAATTATATAATATTGTTTTTCCAAATATGGAAAGCTGGCACATTTACTTATATGTATAATCCTCCATCTTTAGTTGTAATACATGGACAAGAAGTCAGAAAGTTTGGTTATTTGCTTACCTTAGGAGCTCTTCTGGCTTCAGGTGTGAGCCTGGCACCCAAGAAATGTCCCATTTTAGAAAGTCAGCCCACCCTCTCCATATACAAGAGGACCTTTACTGTTGGTTCTGGATGGTTTTAGTCCATGTGAAAAAGGATATAAAGATATTGAAGCCAAACTTAGTAAATCAGTGAAACAGGTGACAGGAAAAAAGAGAAGTCATTTTTATAATCCATTTAAAATATAAGAAAATAAGGACCTAGAAATATTAAATGTTTTTAAAATCAAGGTACATTTGAGATTCAAAGTCTGATCCTCTGAGTCCTGGCTTAATGCTTGTTTCAGACTTTCTCCTTAACCACTGTATATACTTTTAAAATATGGACCCGGTGATAGTAGTCCCTTCACATTGAGTGGGCTAGAGGATGTGCGGTAACTCTCATATGTGGTGTGATACTTTGGTTAGGAAAGTAACTTCTCATTAAAGAGAAAATTATATTCAATTACTATTAGTACTTATTATTATCACCTCTTCAAGCCACATATTATTTCACAAATGTGAGGTCAGGCTGATTAGAATGTACTGATTTGTTTATAAAAGCTCAATATATTTAAAAGATATTGTAATTTATGTAATGTCCTGAACATATATACATTTAATTCAGATAATAAAGGGAAATTAAGTATTTGATGTATTAGCTTAATTTGCAGATCCAATGTAGAAGAGACTTAAACCGATGAGAAAATAGAACTAGACATACACTGGTAAACAATTATAGGTATGAAATGTAATGTTCTTGTAAGGTTCCATTACTATTATATTTTTGGTGACCTAGAATATTAAAGATAGTAAATGATTTAATATATCTTCTCACATAACTAGTCATAAATCTTATGAAGTATAAGAACAAACTTTCTAAAAACAAGATAAATGAGAGCAGTGGTTAGACTATATACTGTACATTAGGATCATAGAAAGTAGTATATTTCTTGGTGGCTCAGCCTGTAATCCCGTGCCTTTGGGAGGCTGAAGTGAGTGGATTGCCTGAGCCCGCGGGTTTGAGACCTGCCTGGGCAGCGAGACCTTATCTCTACAATAACTCAAAAAATCAGCTGGGCGTGGTAGCGCATGCCTCTAATTCCGGCTACTCTGAAGGCTGAGGTGGAAGGATAGCCGGAGCCCAGCAGGTCGAGGCTGCGGTGGCCGGGACCTATTTCTAAAGGCAACTCTAAGAGAGGTACTATGTGGAAGATAAGAATATTAGCAATATCTTACATCATATTAAATATCACAGTAATGTGACGCATTACTGTGTTGTTCTGACAGGTCAAGTAAATAATTATATAGTGACTCTTCCCACTTCACATTTCAAGAATTGCATATGAAGGGATGGAAGAGAAATATATACTTTTAGATTCCAGCAATGTATCTTTCTAAATCTATCTAGTTTGACTATTAAATAATGGGCTCTTTTAGGGAATGGTATTCGATCATGAAAAAAATTTTTTATTGAAATTCTACTACATATAAATATTACCACATTTCTAAAAATTCACATAAATCTCACAATTCCATAGATATATGCCAAAAGTCTAACCCATGTCAAACTAGTCATATTCCCTTTCCATTAAGGTTGAAATAATCATGGAATAAATATTTCATGAAGAATGTGAAATAAATAAGAATGCGTCATCACCTTTAAAACTCTTTAATTTGTGCCTTCTCATTCCCCTGTATCATGATAAAGTAGTTATAAAGTTAAATAACAGTGATCCTTTATTCAAGATATTGATCTGAAGTTTCATTAAACAATGAGTGAGTTATTTTAGGTTGGGCTTATGACAATTTCATCTTTTTTTAACTTTAAAATTTTTATTTTAAAATTGTTGGGTACAATTCAGGGTTAGGTGTACAAATATTCATTATGCAGGTATCTTTGTTGATGAGGTGTGCCCCCCTCTTCCTCAGGCAGATTTCCACCACTGCCAATCCCACCTCCCCATCCCTCTGCCCCCTGCAGTTTCTTGCTACTGTCAATCCTTTTCTTATAGTATTACGATAGTTATTCAAGGTCCACTTATGACAATTTCATCTTATAGATTACACTGCCTGCATCAATCACATATAAATGTTTGGATGGCATCACAAAAGATACAAATATACAATTACTTACAATAATATGCAAATCATTTGCATATCACTTAATATACAAACTATAATGTATATGAAACCATTCTTTCAGGTCTACATTTTGGAAGACCCAAGCATTAACACTGAAAATATAAAACTAGATAACCAAAACAGTTTCTATGGGGCTTTGGAAAAAATTAAATGTACTCAAGTTTATTTTTACATCCTCTTTTGTGTTATATGTCAAGCAAAAATAAAAATTCAAATGACTGTTTTCTTTGATGATATGGCACTTATTAGAGACTTGAAAGAGTTAAGTAAAATGGCAGTAATATTGTTTGTATCCACAAAATGTGTGTATATAAAAATTATTATGCTACTTGATCTCTGTGTCCTAGGGATTACTTACATCAGTAAGAATAAAAGACAATTAGAAAAAATATTTAATTGCCTTATTCACTCTAATCTTTTTCTACAACTTTAATTCTTTTTGCAGATATGTGGTGAAATCTCATCAACTTCTTTAGTGCATCCTTCATGTCCTTATTCCTTAAGGTGTAAATGAAGGGGTTGAGACTTGGAGTGATGATGGTATAAAAAAGAGTGAGAAACTTGCCCTGGTCTTTGGAGGCACTGTTACCTGGTTGCAGGTACATGTAGATAATAGTTCCATAGAAGATGGACACCACAGTAAGGTGAGATCCACAGGTATTAACTGCTTTTTGTTGGCCTGCTTTTGACTTCATTCCCAGCACAGCTTTGGCAATGTAGCCATAGGATAAGAATAAGAATTAAGGGTGTGAGGACAATGACAATGCCTAAAGAAAAAACAGACATTTCAACTGTTGTGGTGTCGACACAAGCTATCTTAACCATAGCTGGCAACTCACACAAGAAATGGTCCAGAAGGTTGTTTCCACATCTGGGCAAATTCAGGGTGAGTGTACATAATACAACAGAACTGGCCAAACTAATACTCTAGACCATGATAATCATCTTGAGACAAAGATGTGGATTCATTATTAAAAAATAATGCAAGGGCTTACATATAGCCATAAAACGATCATAGGACATAATAGCCAGGAGAAGACACTCAATAGAGCCCAACCACATGTAAACATAGAGTTGAATAACACAACCCACAAAACTGATGGTCTTTTCAGGTCCCCACAAGTTAAACAGCATCTGAGGGACAATGCTGGTTGTGAAACATAGATCTAGGAAAGATAAATTCCTGCGGAAAAAGTACATTGGTGTGTGGAGATGGGAATCCAGAAGAGAGGCAAGCATGATGGCTGTGTTACCCACCAATGTGATTAAGTAGAAGAAGGTGACAACTCCTGACAGGATCATCTCCAGTTTGGGATGGTCAGAGAAACCAAGCAGTATAAAGCCATGTAAACAGCTATAATTGCTTTCAATGTCTACATCCTAGAATGAGAAAAGGAGGAGGAAATAATTTTTTGACATGAACTGTCTAAATAGTTGATAAAATATATAAATAAACAAAGGAAGATGATTTATGTTAATAACTGAAAAAGTTAATAGACAAAAAGTAAAAATCACAGTCAAGTAATCTGTTATTTGTTGTAGATTCTTTTATGGCAACAAGTTTGATGTTATATGTTCTATCCTGTGACCCTGGGGAGTTCATTTTTAAATTAAAGTCTGAATTTTCTCACATTTGGATTTGAAAGTTTAAATTAGAACAGGCTGTAAAATGATGTGACCCTATAACTTTCTATAAAGCTAGCTACCTTATATAGTGAACATATTTTCTAACTTGGTCGGTGAATTCATCTATAAAACTATTTGAGTAACATCAGAAAAGAAGTGATAATACGGATGAACTTGGTGAGCATTATGTTACATGAAGTAAACCAGACACAGAAAGACAAACACTGTGTGATCTCAATTACATGTGGAATCTAAAAAAGTTGAACTCTTAGAAGTAGAGTAGAATGGTCATTACCAGGGACTGGGGGAGGAGGGTGGATGGGGAAAGAGAAGATATTGATCAAAGGGTACAAATAAATCAAGCATAAGCAAATTTAAAAGGACTGAAATTTTACCATGCACCTTCTCAGACCACAGTAGAATAAAAATAAACATTAATATCAACAACGTCCCCCCAAAACCCACAAAGACATGGACACTAAGCAGCATGATGCTAAACAACTCCTGGGTCGATGAAATCAAAACAGAGATCAAAAGATACCTGGAAACAAATGAAAATGAAGAAACATCTTACCAAAATCTCTGGGATTCCATGAAAGCTGTAGTAAGAGGGGAATTTATATCCCTACAAACGCACATGAAGAAAATGGAAGAATCACAAGTTAACAGCCTAACAAGCCACCTAAGGAAGCTGGAAAATCAAGGCCAAAAAACCCTAGTTTCAGCAGAAGAATCCAGATCGCCAAAATAAAAGTCCAAAACCAGGACATAGAACACAAAAAGATAATACAAAAAAACAATGAAACAAAAAGCTGGTTCTTCAAAAGGATAAACAAGATCGATGGTCCCCTAGCTAGACTGACCAAGAAAAAGAGAAAAAACCCAAATAAGCACAATCAGAAACACAAAAGATGAAGTCACATCTGACCCTGAAGAAATACAAAAGATCATTAGAGACTACTATGTACACTTATATGGAAACAAACTTGAAAACCTCAAGGAAATGGAGGACTTTCTGTCATCACACAACCTGCCTAGGTTGAAACAAGAAGAAATTGAGACCCTAAATAGACCAATAACAATCAAGGAAATTGACTATGTAATAAGAAAACTTATTACTACAAAAAAAAAAAAAAAAAAAGCCTTGGACAAGATGGCTTTCCAGCAGACTTCTACAAGACATTTAAGGAGGAGCTGATCCAATCCTACTGAAGGTATTTCAGGTGATTGAGAAAGATGGAACTCTCCCCAAATCATTTTATGAAGCTAAC